TTCTATGCATGTTGACTTTGTGACAGTGTACAGTGAAATAATTGTTGGGCTTTTACAGATATTGAATGCTTGTCTCGGAAATTTTAACCAGTAAACTAATTTAATAAAACTGTTCATTACTACATGATTTTTTATATGGTAAGCTTACAAATTGAAGATTGTTATGACTGGAAGCTCATTATATTAAGATTTTGGCCATAGTGATTTTGACATTGTATGCCTTCAGACATCATTGTATTGTAACAACCCAGCCTAACCCTAGGCATCTGTCAGTTTAGTCATCAACGCTTGTCATGTTTAACAATGCATCATAGAAGTTGACAGAACTCTTCTTAATAGATCACAAAACCTGTAATAGTTACCAACAATGTAAATGCTTCCTCCAACAACACTAAAGGCTCATGTATTTGATGTTGCTGAAATGGTTTTTTGGTGGTGGTGGGGTTCTTTTGGATTATTCAGTAAACAAATGCATTACTAGTCCACTAAATTATAAACAAAGTATTTTATTTCTTCAAGTTCTACACTAACATTATTTCATGTACCTAATGATAGATCTAGCTTCACAAATAAATAATGCCTTTGCATAGATTCCATTTACTTACTAATTTTGATATGGTACATTATTTCTGCTTACATAAATAGCTATTTTCATCCATTATTCCCTTCTGTATGTAAATAAAAAAAGCATTCCACAAGTCTTCTGCATCCCCTCTATTGGAAACGACTCATTCCAATGTGTGTCTTTCATGCAAATCATCATGTGACAACCCTCTACCAATGAGAGTGCCACACACACTCGTTACGCATGTGACTCCCTCTGTTCAATTCTACCAGACTGTCACTTCTCATTTGTAAGTACTCATGTTCTTACGTTTAGTTTGTGCTCTCTTCCAGTGTTTTATTATAATATTCTTCTGTATTAATTTGTACTAATTTCACTCAATGAGTTTACTCCTTATTATACAATAGTGATATTTGTAACTTGTTGAGTTATTTCAAAGTGGAATTATTTTATATTTCTATCTAGTTACGGAACTTATTTAATTATTACTTCATTACAGAAATCTTTTATTGTTTCTACCAACACAGTAGTGTTTGGTTATTCATTTTACGTTATGAATTTTCCTTTACCACTTCAGAGGTTATATGTTCTATTAGCACTTTACACAAGCTTCAGGTCACAGTACTCCGTGGGAAGACTTTCAGCTTTACTTCGTCGGGAGATTGATTGTTCTATGAATTGACAATCATTTGGCTTTGCCTCAAATTTGGGGGCCCACACATTTGCAATACATTTTGTTGACTTTGGAAAGATAAGACGTTATACTTTATTGCTAATATTATTATCTATCGGTATTTGGGTTCCCTAACATAAGTTTAATTTGATTGATTAATACTCATATTCAAATTTAGGTTAGCCATTAGTCTATAACTAATTTCACTATAATGTTGTTCTTCCTATTCCCTTGGTTTGTGTGGAACCCTTGAGCTGGGATCCACACAAACTTATCCCAATATTGTACATACTTATTGTTTGTTTAAGTATTTCTTTAAGAGCTTAGTGATATTTTTGTTATGTATTGTTCAATTAGGCTTTTTAAATGTTTATTTTCAGTTTACTTGTAGTTCTACTTCCGCATTAATCTGTAACTAGGTGAAATATATTGTTTGGTTAGGCTTAATAAGTGTCTGTTAATTTCAGTTTCCCCATAGTTCTTTTTATGGGTTTATCAATATTTAGGTTATTTATCTTTTCTTCAACACAGAACATCACATGCATCTGTTTATTTCGCGACACAATTTCTTACCATTAATTTCATTTAATTTATTCTTTATACTCTTGTCTTTAATTTTATATAACTTATACTTTCTACTTCTTACCATTAATTTCATTTGTGAGGGCCCCTGGTGGCCAGGGCTCACTCTACCTGCTCCCAGTATTGCTCGTCTTCCTCCTATAACAGTGGAACCCTTTTTCAGACAACCTATATTTTCAGTTTTCCTCCACCTTCTCATGGAGTACATTCCAGGCCTCTACTGCAGAATGTGCCAGGCCTATCTACATTATTTTGACACATTTCTTTCCCTTACTCCTCTTCTTTGTTTGTTATATTTCCCTTCCACCCTTATCCATTGGGTTTAGATTGTGATTTGATTGGCCTTTTCTTTCTTGTACCCTTCTTTCCATCTTCACTCCTAACCTGCACCTCCCTTTTTCCATGCATGACTACCCTGCTGTTAGTTAGAGGTACTTCGTCAGTTGAGCACTAGAGCACTGGTTCATTTCCCATTCTCTGCTTTTCTTTCTTGTTGGGGTACTGTCATTCACCTGTTGCAATCCTTCACTTTTTCATGAGACTGTGACTGGGTAGGTTACCTTTTCTTATATATACCTCTTCTTTTTGAGAGGCATGTCCCTCTTTTTCTTAATGAATCCCACTTTGTGGCTAGTTGTGCCTGATCAGGTATTCTTTAATCTTTAAAATACACATTGTTCAGCCATGTCGTCTTGCTTATTATGTTCCATAAAAAAATTATTCATATTAGTAAATGATGTACAGTATGTATTAAAATACTAAAATGGAAAGTGAAATATGACAAAGTGACATTAGGTGAGTAAATGGCATTGAATGACCAGAGTTGATTCTTAATGTGTGTGTGTCTGTTTATTGGCATGTATAAATATAAAAGAGATATAATGTAAGTGTGATTGGTCAAAATATATCATCATAATTGTTTATGTGGTGGTCTGGGAGATAAAATTTACAGTGAACTACTCAGTGTGGGATCCTTTGTGGCACAAGAGTTCTTAATATTTTCATTGGTTATGTTTGTGTATGGGTTTATTGATTTAGGTGTTCTGAATAGGAATTACATTGTACAGTAAAGAGGTTTTCTACTTTTTCATACTCTTTAGTTCAATGAAGATCTGGAATAGAATAAAATGTGTTTGTTTTATAAGGCTTCTCTAATCCAGTATCTGCAGCTGTATGTTTAGTGCAGAAGAGTAGTGTGATGAGAGTATTTTGTCTACATGTGCACAAAAAAAGCCCATAAAAGTCTAACTACATTATACCCACATCCACAATGTTTATTAACAATAAGCTGTACCATTGTATTTATATCAGATTTGAGAAAAATCAATATCTAGAAAAGTGACTTGTAAAACGAGAGATATGAAGACTGTTGTTGTAATAATACTGTTTGTGTAAAAAAGCTTAAGACTTGTTTGGTGCAAATCTAAAATTATTGATAGAATGAAGAACATTGATGTTTCAGAAATTTCCAAATTATTTAGCATAAATGCTTAAAAAATAGTTAATATTTTTAGCCCAAGGTCTTCAGCTAAAACTTAATATTAAGAGATATAAAGGAATGTAATCCAAAGAGCAACAATGAAAAAATGAAAATGGAACAAACAGCTACAGAATAATATAATGAATGCCATAAACCTAACTGCTGTGCAAGTATAGTTGAATATTTTTCATTAAAGGCAGCCCATTAACTTTAACCTGATTATATCAGTTAAATATTTATTTTTGGTGGAGTTCATATTCTGTTAAAATCAGTAAATTAGGTCCTTGAAAATGACAGTAACTAAGGTCGTGGGAATCCCTGGAATTTATTTTTAATTAGCTTGTGTAAGTCATGAGTACACATTGTTCTTATGCTGCCTTACGTTTTCAAATGTAACATCATGAAATATTTTTCCCAATGTCCTGTGTTACTTCCCATAATTCAGCCAAGTTGTTTAACTGCTATGTGCCCTTTTCAGTTTCCATACAATGTTAATATTCATATTGAAATTTTTTGCAGGAAGTTAAATACATGACCTGCCTAACAAGTTTTGTTACTTAAGGAATGATGTGATAGATAAGAATTTACTTGTATCTGTCAGTAGTCAGGATGCCATTAATTCTGTGTACTTCTCAACACCATTGGCTGAGTTGGAACCCACACTTGTGTTGGTCTTCCAGCATGTTTCCTTATAGGTGTTATACATATACCTTGGTACTCTTCTCCTCTCTGCCATTGAACAAATTATTGTTGATTGTTGTTAAACAAATTGAAATTGGATTCATCTGTAAAGAGCATCCTATTCCAGCTCTGCTCATTGTAATGTTTGAAGTATCATGCTCATTACAGCCTTTTATCTCTCCCAAACAGTGGATTTTGAACAACAATACATCCATTGTGGTCATTCTGTGATAATGTGTATCTTACTGTTCTGGAAGTAACATTCACACACCTGTACTCAGGAATGTCGAGAGCCAGCATGGGCCTTGGGGCAAACATCCTTTCTTTCTCTCTTTTTTTAATATTTTCAAGAATTTATTAAAAATTAGATCCTAAATTAGGACAGCAACGAGCTCATAAACCAGACAAAATCATAACAGCAGCCGTTTTCACCTCACAGTATAAGCGTAAAAACGTTAATAAAGAAATATCAAATATCTATTAAATCTATAAAGTAACAAATACAAATTAATTATTACTCAAGAAATGTATCAAGAAAGATGCTTAACAGCATAACCCCCCTCCTTGGAAAGTTTGGGCATTGTACCTCAGTTGCTTTTATTATCAACAGTAATAGTTCACATACCCTCAGAGGTTACATACACTTTGTACTGAAACATGAACTTTTGCCTCAGTCTGTCATGTGGAGTAGCATTCATTAGCCAAAAACATTGATTTCTACACATTTATTATGTGGCCTTTGTTTTGTGATAACAATGAGTACATTTATCACATTATTTCTGGAAATTATATTACAGCCTGTACTTTTATAGGTATTATGCTGGTGTGGCACTGTCTGATTGGCAGGGTGAGTCAATCATTGTAAATACATCAACACATGGTAACTCTATTGTAACTTATTTTCATGCAATATAGGAGGGGATCCCATAGTAATTACATTTTATTCACTGTTTACATAACTATTTCCAATACTGAATATATTTATACATATCTTATATAGCCAATTTGATTATTTTCAGATTCCCCCAACTGTCACCAGGATACTTCTGAACTATTTTAATTGGGATAAAGAAAAGCTGTATGAAAGGTAAATTACCTATATAGGAAAAATATATTTCAGCTTACAGAGACTGTACTTAAACCATTGACTGTTGATTCGCCATATAGGGTATGGTCTGCCTCCAGTAGGTGAATGCAAGTGTGATGTATACAATGTACATAACAAAAATTCTGTGTGCTTAGCAGCCACAGTCAAAGGGTTAAATCATATTTATTTGAGTTTGAGCATTAAAGATACAAGGTAGTTTGGTGATACAGGTAACCAGTAACCTTCAAACAGAATACATTGGACTGTTCTCTAACCTCTGTAAGCTGTAGAATTGTTTTAAAGGAAATCTGAAGATAAAATTTCACATCCAGTTTGAACAATATTAACAAAGTCATAACATTCTACTCTGCTACTTTGTTATTGAATTGTATCTTCTAGTCATTTATATATAAGTATCTATTTATAAATAGCTTATAATTCTAAATTATTTCTATCCTGTAAAAAACAAACATGTAGAATCATTATTGTAATAGACTATGAAGCTGGCAGTTGTCCTAGTGCTGATTGTTGTAAATATCAGATATTACATGTCTTGAGCTTCTTACAATTTTAATGTATATTGAATGAATTTATATGTTTTTTTTCAATACAGAAATCTGCTTTTAAGTATTTTTTTTCTACCAATCCCTACACAGTTGGCCTAAAAAATAACTTAAAACAAGTTAATCTCATTGACTCTTCTCAAATAATTTAGAACCTATTGGAAAATATTTTAAGTCACATGAACATTGATTTTGAAATAACAACTATTTATAGGTATTATGATGGTGACCAGGAGCGACTTTTTAAGGAAGCTCACATTGTTAGTCCCTACAAAAGACCAGCAAAGAAATCATACAAGGTTAGAAGTTGAAAGCTTTTTAATGCACTTTTTTTAGAATAATGTAGTACTTATTTAACTTCTTTCATTACAAAGCTCTTAACCACTCAGTAAGTTGATCAACTAATTATGAGAAAAATGCTGAAAATATTGCAGAATTAATAGTTAGAGTAAAAGATCCTAATACCCTAAAATTGAAACTTTTTGGGTAATAGTAGAGTTTCAATTATAAGAAAGCAGTAGTAGAACAACTTATACAATGAAAGAACAATGTTTTACTTTAAGTATGAAGAAGTAAGACTTCTTTATGAATTACAGTTTAATCAACAATTTCTTGATAATGTTTTGAATAAATCTACATGTAGAATGTCAAGGATTTTATTAAGCTACACTAATACATTACAGAACTAATTTACAACATACTCATATCTTTCAGGAATCATTGTCACATCTACTTGGAATGAAAATAGAACTATGATAAAATCAGTACTCTTATTCCTAATTAATCATTATCTCCAAAATATAAATACACAAATTAAAAAATCTTAACTGGGATACTACTTCGTTAAGCCTAAATTTATATTTTCTATTGAAAACTAGTCAAGAGCTTTCACAACATAAAATTTGATTTGAAAAGTGACTTAAATTCCAGTTAAAAATTTAAGGAAATAAAGACTTATTATTTGTAATTAATGAACCAAAATTAAAAACATGTGGAACAGATATTCAACAATTTTGTGAATTTGTCATAAATGTACTTATTAATTAGAAGTTAGTAGCTCATCTATATGGAATTCTTTATCTTAATTTTGTGCATATTATGTAACATTTTCATTTCACTGTTGATTATGTGTTTTTATTTATGTTTCATTACAATGTTTAGTGGTACTATCTTTACCGGTTTTGGGTGAGGAAAAAAGAAGTGTTAAAAGGCTTGATAATTATTTTGTTTCAAGCACAGTAACGCTCATTCTGTCATCAGATATTAATACCTGTTGTAGTAGGGATACGTTTAATGGTAAATAAGTGTCATATTATAAAGGTTTGAACAAATTGAAAAAAATATAGGTGTCTCTTATATGTTTGAATATATTTGGACAATCAGTTATGCTTTATCCTTAATACTTCTACAAATAGACATCATGTAGTTACTATATAGATGTCATGGCACTTGTACTTTTTCCAACGTAAGATACTGTATTTCTTGCAGTTTTTGCCCTACTATTCATGTAGGTCAGACTGACTGCTAACTAGGAGACAGTTTCAAATATGTATTACTATGCAAATCGGGAATACTGAAAATCCTATATTTTCTCTTCTATCAAATGGATATGCTGTTTGTGATATTCATGTTATAACTCTTAAACTATTAAAGAAAACAAGGCTAACCAAGATCACAAGAATGTTGCATATATTATCTCCATGTGGCTTCAACTTTTCCTTTATTTAATTTTTCTTTTATTTTGGTCTTTTCTTTATTTATTTATACTTTATAATATTTTTTTCATTTGTATTCTTTTTAAATTCCATTTCTTAACTTTTTTTATTATTTGCTTACATTTTATTGTTTTATTTTTTTCCAGTATTATTCATTATTATTGTCTTTTTTTTGTTTCAGTATACTTTCACTTCCATTTCCTGTTGGTTCCTACCAACCTGAAAGTTTATTCATTTTCTTCTGTCCTTGTATTTCTATACTCTTGCACTCTCTTCCTGTTGGCTCTGTTCTAAGCAGAACACTAGACATAGCAAGATGGTTAGTCTGCCTGGATTGTGAATCGAGAATTCATGGTTCATGATCTTTTGCTACAAAAACATGCTCTGGTCAAATCCTACTGATTGATCAGACAAGAGCAGTCCAAAAGTTTTTGGGTTCAAATCTGTGCAATACCATAAAATAGTTCTCACACATAGAGCAACAATCAATCCTTTTAGTATGGATGGTGGGTAGTAAGGTGCTGTTGACTAGCTGTCTTCTGTCTAGTTAGTCAGCTAAATCCCCGTCCCACCAAACATGCTCACCCTTTCAGCCGTGGGAGTGTTATAATGTGGCAGTCAATCCCAATATTCATTTGTAAAAGAGTAGCTCAAGAGTTGGCGGTGGGTGGTGATGACTAGCTGCCTTCCCTCTAGTCTTACACTGCTAAATTAGGGACGGCTATCGCATATAGCCCTCATGTAGCTTTGCACAAAATTCAAAAACAAACAAACTAGGGACCACTTTGAACTGATAACTCTCATATAGCTTTGTGTGAAATTTTATATCAAATTTCTAACAAAGAAATTGATGTTTATTTCTGTATATCTTAATGCACCTCTACTTTGAACCAAATGTTAACAATTTTATAGTACCATATTTTATCACACTGTTGATACATTTGTTTGTTATTTGTATTTTTAATACCTGGATATTTAAATATTGCTTTTTTCTTTCTGAAAGATATAGTAATTTGTCAGTGGTGAAAAATTACATGACATAATACATTTAAGTCTGTATGAAAATAAAAGCATGGTCTTTAATAAAGGCCATTTCCTTCCCTATTTATTATTCTGTTGCAGTTTTTCTTTTAGTTATGGTTAATACATTAATAAAATTAATATAATTAATTCATGTAGGGCTTGATTATAACATCTGGGCCACTAGAGTCAGAAGTTTAATACTATTACAATGCTAAACAATGAGGCCTAAAGTGACACATTGTGCTGACATGTAACCTACCTGACAATGATTTTCATAAAAATTATGTTGAATCATCGTAACAAAACATGATTTTAAATTATGAAAGAGAGTGTTTTAACAAATACAGCAGACATTCTTGCTTCCAGGTAGTGTCTTTATATTGAAAAAATCTTTTTACTAATAATAACCATATCAAGTCGATAGGGTAAAAGTCTTAAGGTAAGTTTGGTAGAAGACAAAATGTGCAGCAAATTTGAATAGTTGAAAATAGCAAATTAATAAAGTTTTATTAGTAACTTAAGTTTATTTTTTCATGAAATTTCAATGCTGAGATATACTGAGAAAGTAACAACACTCAGATATAGTAATGTAACCTAGAGCTTTGGAGGCTAACCTAGATTTAATTTGATCTGTATTTGGAGCTAAGCATAAATCTAAAGCCACCTGTGAATACATTATGATCTGTTTTAGGTCTAAGTCTAAATCTAGTGCTTGGATTGTTTGAATCCATAGATCTATGCACCAAGAGATACTTCTATCTTAGCAATCATACTGAACATAAAGCATTATATAACTTGATCTCTAACTTTCACATTTCAGTCTGTATTACTAATGCCTATATTGAGGCTATCTGATTAGCATAAAACAGTACAACCTTCTCTCACCCAAAGCTATCTCGACCTTGATTTGCCCTCGAAGCGTTGCTAAAATTTTCAACAGCACACTAGTCTATTATACCCCTTCATTTTTGTGCCACTGCAGCAGCATGTGCTGAACATGTGACTAGCCTCCAACAATCATACTGTGCCATCTATACTAGTGCACGTAGCTCTCTATACCATTGCAACACAATCTTCACTATCTCGATTGGCATTTTACTGTATAGTCTTGTTTTAACTTGTTCTCCACATGACAACAAAACTTTGATTGTACTTGATCACAAATTTATATTAGTTTCAACTTCAAGTTTCGACTTAATGTGTTTGATTTCCATTGTTTCTACTCGTTTGTTTTATAAATGTTTCTGTTTTCTGAATTATACTTTGTTCCTTTGAATTAGAGATTTAGTATGACAGATGATAAAATTCCCACCATACTTAGACAATGGTTCTGACACTAGTCCCCAGATCTCAGGGTCGATGATGTCTGGTAAGGAAGCACAGATTTTTGTTCCCAGGGAGTTTGTGTCTTACATTCTGATGGTGATGTTTTCCTTTCAAGTTACGATTCTTGTGCAAAGGGATATAACTACAGTCTGGAAAGTTTTTTTCTACAGTACTTTCCACCTGATACCATGCCTCCTTGTAATCTGCTGGATTAGGTATTGTTCTGTTTCCCAGGAGATCTGTGGTAAGTTTTTCAGTATGTATTTCTCACTCCTTGTAGGCATATTCATGTTTCAAAACATACTTACCTCTGCTGACACTAAAGCTATTTATTGATCTCCAGGGTTTCCACTGTTTGCCCATCTAAGCATTGAAAATACTTGCTTCAGTTTTTTATACCCAACTCCACTGGCCTTGGCAAATTCTAATTTGCAAATTTTTCATAGTTTTCTCAGATTCATCTGATTTTCACAACTGAGGTATTTATCTTCGATCCAACTTTTGTTGGAAGCCTATCAATGTTCTCCTCATCAATTTAAGGACAAGTTGTGAATTTTGCTGACGTTTACCTCAGCCAGATTGTCTTCTTCAGTTCTTTCTCTGGTTTCCTGGCTGGTTTGTTGTTGGGATTTTTTGGGTAGAGATTTTTTGTTAAAAAGTGTTCATTTACCATCTTCTGTCCTCAGGGACTTATCGGAAGCTCCTTTTTCTCTGTCCCTTGTTGTTTGCTTAAGGTCCAGTGACATTAGAATTAAGATTTGATTCAGATTGTTTACATTCTTCTTTATCATATTTGACTTCTCGCCTTTCTGATGCTAATTTGGCACATAGTTTTCCTGACCCTCTCCTTCGGTTCCCAGGTCTATTGGTTCCTATAATAGAGTCCATTCATATTCTTGAGGATTTTCGGCTGAGACTGACTGTTGACAACAGCGTCAGTGTCTTTCCCATGAGCGAAGGAGCAGTGGGACCAATTTCTGGACATGCAGAGTTCTTTCACCAGGAATCCATGGGTATTCCGTGCTCTGGATTCAGGGTTGGTCATTCAATTTACATCACCTCCACCTTTATATGCACAACCTGTTGATTTGTCACCTCCGACATTTTCACGATGAGTCGAGCTTCTTTCCCAGGCTATAAGAGAGTTGTTGGTCAAAAGGGCAGTAGAGATGCTTGATCCAGTTCTTCTGCAATTTTATTCCCATTTATTTGTTGTACTCAAGAAGACAGGAGAT